CCGAACACTTATGTAAGAGCTCAAGCTGAGGTCACAGGCAAAAAAAATCGCGGAGATTGGGCACTTGGTGGCGCTATAAGAGGAGGAAACATAAAAATGGCTATAACTAGGCAACCATTTGTCCTATCAACATGAAAATCACTGTGCACGGTCTTGGTCCAAAGTGCCACAAGTGTCTATGGGGACATTTGCGTATCTCAAAAACACATGGCCACCATTGGCCAACGAAGTTTGAGCACCTATTAGACAAGGTCAATCGGAACGAAACTTGGTGGGCCTGTTTGACTCACGGCCCCAAAGGTCTGTGAGAAATTTGAAAGAAACCGGCCACTGGGGGGCGGTATCGCATTTTTTGAGTGCGTAAACAATTTTGCATTGCATGGTTTTCCGCACATACACGCGATATTTGTATCGTAAGATAGACCTCCTCGTTCCGAACAACTTTGCCTCTAGAACCACTGTTGTCAATCAAACCGTTTTTAAATGATTGAGAAGATGTGAAAAACCTACTTTTGCAAACTAGTCCTAGGTTTTTTGCTCATTCTGGAAAAAACTACCGCAGTGCAATTCTCTGGACTCTCTAGGTCAGTGTTTCTCAACCCTGGTCCTGGGCGCCCCCCAGCACTGCACATTTTGTGTGTCTCCCTAATCAAACACACCTGATTCAACTCATTAGCTCATTAAAAGAAACTCCAGGACCTGAAATGGGTGTCAGATAAGGGAGACATACAAAAAATGTGCAGTGTTGGGGGGCGCTCAGGACCAGGGTTGAGAAACACTGCTCTAGGTCAATAATTATCAAAAACATGTTGAAATTTACCCTTTGGGAAGCTATAACGGGTCCTTTATAAAAAGGGGCCTGTCCAAATACCAAAAGCCTATAAAACCTAAACGAAAACTCAAAACTTCACAAAACCGGCTGAGCACATGTGACAGGTGATTCTAAACAAGCATGCAAAGTTTCAGGGAGATCGGACCACACCTGGCGCTATAACAGTCATAAACGTTATAAAAACATCATATTTCTATGGTAAATCACCTGGATTTGACAAAAATGTTTTTTAATAATTGATTTATGTGGTTACAGGCTTGCTAAATAATATGTAATGTCTTTTTCCTTATGTGCTTAAATACCTAAAGCGCTGGAACCCCGGTAATTGCTGCTTGCAGCTATATTTTTTATTATTATTATTTGTAATATATTGTGTCAATAGACAATGGTTATAATACAAAAACGCAATATTAAATATTTAAATAATTAAATAATCTGTACATATCATCGTATTATTTCCATAGTGGGCACAATAGCGCTGTATGACAGTTTCACTTTTATTTAGTTTTTCCTTTTTTATTCAAAATATCCACAATCTTGTTAACTATATCATGAACTATATGATACAGCCAATTCTGATTGGCAAATATGTGTAAATTAATTTGCTTTGTCGTTTAAACAACCTTAATGGCCATGTTAGTTGGTCTACTGTATAATGCGCGCTGGACGCTGTCGTGTGGATCTGTCAGATTTACATTACGTAAATTCACCCATTTCTCCTGAAATACATGAAAGTAAGTGGCCAGTGAACTGTGACAAAAACAGAGCAAACTTTATAGTTACCTACACAATGTGTATTCGATAGGAATAAACACGTCGTCAAATTTTTATTAAAATTATTATTATTGCTGCTTTCCATAGAAATCAGTGTTTTTGACAAACTAGAAATGTCTTTTTAGCAAGTACTTAATTGAAATGTCTATTTAAATGTATGAAATCTAAAATAAACTTTATGTGGTTGAAAGCACTGAACAGTTGTGCTATATGAAAAGCATCTGTCTCTGGCTCAGTGCCAGCCAAAGCGCGGAGCGTCAAAGGGTTAAAATCCTTTTAGACTTGCACTCTATTCATTTACTAACTGCTTGTTTTCTTCAACAAAAAAACAATAAAAAAAAAACGCTAGATTCTCTAATCTTTTTGTATTCTATCTATTTTTCTTTTTATTTATTATACAATTAACAAAGCAAAAAAAGGCCTCTAACACTAGCTTGCTCTATTCTTTTTCTATTCTATTATATAATAAAAAAAAAACTTGCTACGTGTACTGCGTTAAGCTAACTGAGACTTGTTATAGCATTTGCATATCATTGCTCTTTTGTTGATTTTGATTGCTTCCATTGTCCTCATTTGTAAGTCGCTTTGGATAAAAGCGTCTGCTAAATGATTAAATGTAAATGTAAATGTAAAATCGATTGCGTTTCGGGGGTGGAGGGGGGACAAAATTAACCTGAGGGGCGGAAATCAGATTTGAGAGAGCAATGCCTGGCTGGCTGGTTAATTAGCATAACCTATATCATCTTGTTTTACGGCAGTCCATGTTTGATTAAACATCCGTAAATAGATGACATCATAAATATTATAATATAACATTTTACTTTGTTTTAGATTGAAGTTTTTGTCTTCTGTGTAAAAATAACTTTCCTGGGTATATATTTTTGTAATAAAAATAAGCTTTTGTTTCATAAATTTGGTACTGATAACAGCTTAACTTTAGCCTACCTTATGGGTCTTTGCTGTATTCCAATATCATTATGCCTCAATTAGCTAGTTATAGAGTTGTTGTTTTATGTGTACAGATGACTTGCTGCTGTGTTAATATATGTTGTTAAAATAACATTCTGTTCCATAAATGCATTGTCTGCTGGCTTATTTAGCTTACAGTACATTTCAGTACACCGCATTAAGTATGCCACTTAGTACTGTAAGACTTTGAATATTAAATGCAAACTAACACCTGACCACTCTTGTGGGTTTGCTACTATTCCAATTAAAAATTGTAGAAGAGTAAAAACATGCCAGGCAAACATTGGTATGACGTAAGCAACACAGCTACAACAAATAAAATTGATAATGGGTGTGTTAGATTTATAGTGTGTGAATAATCAAGCATTGACAATAATCAGTCGTTTTGGCAGCACCAAGGGGCCCCCAAATAAAATTCTGTTTAGGGCCCCATAAAGGCTTGGGCTGGCCCTGATATAGCGGGTTGGCGGGGCCCGCCCACTGCTCTGGCACTCGAACGCCAGAAAGCCATTGGCTGTTGCAGATGCAATAGCAGGATTCGATAAGGCTTCAGCATTTCGGTTAAAAGGAGTTTTCCCCTAAGTGACTAAATTGTTGCAATGTCAAGTGAAGGACACGAAAAGGAGCCCATACATATGAAGCTATGTGATGCTGACTTTCAGCGTATCAGGAATTGTGCGAAAATTAGGCTTTCTTCACTGAAAGTCAGCATCACATAGCTTCATATGTATGGGCTCCTTTTCGTGTCCTTCACTTGACATTGCAACAATTTAGTATATATATATTATACACACACACACAAACAAAGAAAAACAAGTAGATAGAATAGAAAAAATAGAAAGCTAGTGTTTGTTTTTTGTTGTTATTTTCAGCATATGAAAAGCCATGTTTCTGAATGACAGAACCTAGTGATGCCATGTAGACAGAGAAGAGAAGTGGTCCAAGTACTGAGCCCTGAGGCACCCCAGTAGCTAGATGGACACCTCACCTCTCCAAGATACCATGAAGGACCTATCTGAGAGGTAAGTCTCAAACCACTGGCGTGTGGTTCCTGAGATACCATTTTCCAATAGGGTTGACAGGAGAATCTGGTAGTTCACCGTATCAAAAGCAGCAGACAGATCCAGCAAAATAAGTATAGAAGATTTGGAAGCCGCTAATAAGCATTAGAGTTTAATTGAAACTCTGGCCTTGTAAATCATACTTTGTGTTAAAAGGAATAAAAGTTGTCTGTGTTTTACTGTGTGTTCACTGCGTGTGTTTTACATCGGTGTTCATTTCAACTGGAAACTGCAGTGATTCGTACGTATTTATTATTTATTCTGTACACGGCTGACCGCTGCTCAAAGGTAGGGGCTGATTATAACACGTGAATGAGTGAGCGACTGGAACTCCTCAGTGTTCTGTACACAACTGACTGCTGCACTGAGATGGGCTGCTTGTGCCGCGAGAGTTAATGAGTGGCCAAAGTGCATCTGAGCGCTGAACAAATGCTCAAATTATGTAGTGAAGTTATCCTGAGTCATGGAGTCAGTTTTTCTGGACCGATGGATGTTGTGGAGAAAAGTCTTCTCTGTCTTGCAAAATAATGCTCAGGAGGCAGAGTTCCTGATGTCAAAATTAGACCTTATTTCAAGAAGACAACAAAGCTGACATGCCTGCAAAACATCTGAATCTGTCGCTGTCCAGACTACCATCTTTGTACAATTTCGTTATCGGTCACTGTCCAATGAGCGCACAGACCATTTTTTGATACATCATTCCCAGTCCTTTTCCACAATTGTTTTCATAATGCTTGCTTTCATTGTAGAAAACCACCTGTTAGTCTGTTTTTCAAGAGATAACTTCTCTTATCTACCACTTTCCGGGTGCCCAAGGTTGCAGAGGCATATACATTTTAGGATTTTAACGAGCTGTCAGGGTTTTAATGAGTTTTACACATATAATCTATCTCATCCTGTGGCATCTCCCATCTTAGGTACTTCCTTCTGTATTCTCTATTCATAAGCGCAGTCATGTAGGTCAGACAGTCAGTCAGTTTGGCCTTGAGGTCTTCAAACTGCACCCAGCTCACATAAGAGGCAATCTAACTTTCACAAACATGCAAAGTAACTTCAATTGTTTTCTATTAGATAAAAAAATATTTCATAATGGACTGCAGGGTTCTGCTCGTTCCACACATGATTTCTGGAGCTCATCCAGAGTTATCAGTTTTTTTTTATTCACCAAGACCTTTCTCCCCTGATTTCTCTGTGTGGCCTTCCCCAGATCTGTGCCTTGGAAATGATTTCTACTGTGATATTACTAATTGTGTACTGTATGTACAGTTGTCTGTGTGATATATATACCGGTAATATATATTTCTTAATTTGGGAGAGGGGCAACACTGTTTAACGGTAAAACATATAACACTGTTGTATTTCAGGTAAGGTCAAACAGTCTAGAAAGAAACTTTGTTGCTCCTCCTCTCACCGTCACTATGGAAAACATTACCTCAGCAACCACGACTCAAGTGACCAAGGTAAGAGACATGTCACCGAGAGTTTGAGAACAATATCCCCTCTGAGCCAACACACCATTAACATTCAGCTTGACAAAACTTTAGTCAAAAATTGTGGATGTATTATGGACAGGTCAATTTCTCTGCAAACATTAATAAGGTGAAGTTTTAATAAATAAAAAAAGCTTTAAATACACAGGTTGGTGGTGAAAGACTATCAAAATGGCAGCTGATGAAATCTTTTGTTGGAGATTAAATTCTTGAATGTTTTTAACTGGTTTCAGACAGTGAAAGGGGGTTATGCAGAGACCAGGATTGAAAAAAGGATCATCATAACAGGAGATGATGATGTGAATCAACATCAGGTAAGCAAAGACATATATATGTAATGTATGTATATTAATGGTCAAGTATGTACTTATTAAATATGAAGGAAGCCAGAAGACCAGTGCTAGTAAATTTTAACATGCTGAAATTTTAACATGCTAAATGTTGATACCACAAAGCCCTTTCATGATTGCTTACCCTGACTAATGAAAGACAACGTCCAGGCTGCTAAGACACATTCACCTGTGTTTTTATTTTTTATTTTTTTCTTAATTTTCTTCTACTAGTATAAAATTCACCCAAAATGTTTTTAAATTTAGAATGATTTGGGAAGCACTAAACCTAATCTAGCATACTATGTAGGTCAGCAAATAATGTAATGGTACATGTATATTAAAATCACTTTACTGTCATTAAAACTAACTTTTTGCAGGCTCTCGCCATGGCAATACAGGAGGCCAAACAACAGCACCCTGATATGCTGGTAACTAAGGCCATAGTAGTCAGGGAAACAGACTCTTCATATGAAGAGAAACACAGAGCATATGAGGTACAGCAAACATACAGAACATTGGTTATTATACATTGAATTTCTAGAACTTACAATTTCTTATTGTCCATGAAGGTGATATTTGAACATGTTAAATGTAAAGTAAAAATGAAGTAAAATTAGGGTTTATCTCTGCAGTTAAATAATTGTACATTTCTGAACTTTCACAGTTCTCTCTTTCTTTCTCTCTCTCTGTGTGTGTGTGTGTGTGTGTGTGTGTGTGTACTGTGCATTTGTCCAATTGTTCCAGTCTTGATCAATAGAAGGTGCTGTTTGGAACATGGACAGAAGATCAGCTCTGGTTCTATGTATTTCAGTTGAAAGGAGTTGTGCTACTTATGCTACTGAACAGTTTGCTCAAAACAAATCACCCATGCACCCAGTCCTCTGCCATCACACTCCACTCTGTCCATCTTAGTGACAATCTCCCATCATCTGGTGTCAATACAATGTTCTGTACCATATCAACAGTAGTCTGAATTATCTTTGGTCATGCATAAATGTCAGTAGTTTAACATTTAATTTAGAGTGGAGTTAAAAAAAAAAAAAAATGATGAAAGTGTTGGAAAATTAATGCTGTCATGCGTGCACATCAGTCTGTGACATTAGACTTAGTTCCTAGAATTACCTTTTTTGAGCTCACAGCTTTTTTTAACTTTTCCTCAAATTGGGAAAAAAAAATCTTAAAGGGGTCATATGATGCGATTTCAATTTTTCCTTTCTCTTTGGAGTGTTACAAGCTCTTGGTGCATAAAGAAGATCTGTAAAGTTGCAAAGACTAAAGTCTCAAATCCAAAGAGATATTCTTTATAAAAGTTAAGAGTCAGCCACACCTACCTAAAACGGCTCGTTCTAACACACCCCACATGTCTACGTCACGATGTGAGAAGATTTGCATAACGCCGCCCAAACGTTCACGCAAAGAAAGAAGGCGTAACTTATATTCTCGCAAAATAATGTTCTTTTTAGCAGCATCATATGACCCCTTTAAAGATTTGGGCTTCCATTAAGAATTCATGCATGACTTTCAAGGAATTACCTGAGAAGTTATAAGAATGGACAGACACAGAAGCTACGTATCATTGATGGCCAGCTTCTGTAAGATTTTTTTAATAATATTTGATCAAGTGTTTGCTTTTTAATTATGAATATTTTTCATTTCGACTGTTATGCATATGCAGAAATTTTGGATATTTGAAGCATAGCATTTTGGAAGATACCCACACCTGACCAGTTAATAATAATAATAAAAAAGATGGTAAACCCCACATCAAAACAGCTGAACAAAGCAGAATTACACATGCCATAATAATAAACATATTTGTCCACATACCAAATTGAAATCCATGTTGCATTTTGGATTGTGGCAATGATTCTACAAATAAAAAAATCAACCTCTTTGCTTTCTTCAACCTTCTCTTGAACAAGGTCAACCAAGTATCAACATTAACATTATTCAACATTAACTTGGCTGCATTCTAAAAGCTGTTGACTTGGCTATTAGGTGACATTTTAAGGCATCATTAACCTGACACAAAGACTGTTACAAAAGATAATTACAGTATACTGCTGTCTTAGAAACCATTGTTGTGTGAATTCTAAGCAACACTTATAAAGAAGGAAATTCCATAATACATTTTAATGGTCTCTCTTTAATGAATCCAAGACGGTGGATGAGGTTAGAGAAATCAAATGTTACTTATATAAATAATAAATTAAATAATAATGTTTTATAAATAACTAAAAATGAAAAATAAAAAAATATATTTTTGTTTTTATTAGAGTATCATGATACTCTAATAAAAACAATTATGTCATTACTCACATTACTTTATTTAAATCAGTATCTCAGTCTCCTGTGTTGAACGTTATTTGACATATTGTATCGTAGAATTTATTATGTTTAAATTCAGTTGTTTCCAGTGTTAATTTTGACAGGCATTTTTGATTTAGTCTTAGTCTTTATCTTGTGGCAGTAATGCTTAATAGTCTTAGTCACATTTTAGTCATTTGAGTCTTTCATTAAGTTTTAGTTCGTGCGCTTGCGCGTGGGGCTTACAATGACTTACAACGATACATAACAGCTACAAGTGTATGCACTACTTGCTTTATGCAAGCACTATATAGGATAAATCACTATACAGGATTTACCCTACTATACTTTATCGACACAAATTGATAGGTGAAACAACAAACAGCCACCCACAAATTGTCTATAAACAAAGCATCCGGCTGAGTGACGGCGCTACACCGGGGCTAGGGGCTAGGGGGGGCTATAGCCCCATCAGAATTTTGAATAGCCCCGGTTTAGCCCCACCGGGTTCAAGTTCACTCCCCCCACCTACAATCCCTGCCGGTACGAGACTCGAACCCGCAACCTTTGGGTTACGAGTCCGACTCTCTAACCATTAGGCCATGACTTCCCCCTTGTTTTCTTTTGATAAAGAAAACAAGAGTGCAGGTAGGAAACCATGTCTCTGAGGGGGCCAAAGAAGGAGAAAATAAAGAGGAGTCAGAGAGAGAAAGTTTTGAGAGAGAAACTCCCGAGTCAAGACTTGAGGGAGAGGAGCAGTTTGTTGCTCCACAGGTGCGGCCGCAACTAGCACTAGCATAGTAGTTATCGCGCCGACTGATTTGAGATCACAACGCACTGGATAGCTGGCCAATCACAGCACACCTCGCATTTTCAGACCGATGAACTTTGTAAAAATCTGCGTTTCAAAAAGGCGGGGCATAGAGGAGAAACAATAATGTACAGTATGTGGAAAATAATATGTTTTTTTAACTTGGCTGTGCCCCATTGCTGTGTGCCATGTCGTGAGATGTGAGCAGAGTTTCTTCACTCGAGCTACTATCACTCATTCAGCGGCGCGGGGAAAGACCCGAACTCATCTGTACACACACTCGAGGGCTGTTCACAGTGTGCCATTTTTTGTTTTCCATCACCATGCCACCGAAGAAAAATCCAGCGTGGGAAGAGGTGGACGAAATTAGAAAGTCACTAGACTTTCTTGCGGAGGATGTAACGGTAATAAAGACTCAACAGAAACAGCTTCTCGAACTGCTGGAGGAAGTCAAGATACTGCGTATTCAAAACGCAGAAAAGGATAGCAGATCTGGAGTGGAGGATTTGGAGCAATACTCCAGAATTAACAACGTGGTCGTTACCGGGCTCAAGATCAAACATGCATGTCTTATGCACGCGCAGTGACCGCTGACAACGGGGGTGAGCCCTGCGAGATGGAGGTGAGCTCCGCGGAACAACAGGTGGCGGCCTTTCTCGAGTCCAGAGGGATTACGCTTGATGTGGACAACATTGGGGCATGCCACCCTCTCCCCAGGAGGAAGGACAACGACATGCCAGCAGTGATATTGAGGTTTGTGAACAGAAAAAATAAGATCGCACTGCTTAAACAAGGAAAGAAATTGAAGGGCACTAATGTATTCATGAATGATCACCTAACCAAGAGGAATGCGGATATAGCCAGAAAAGCCAGGTATCTGAGGAAGCAAAACAAAATTCAAAACACTTGGGTTACTAACTGCAAAATATTCATCAAACTTAACGGAACGCCAGAGGCGG